CCCCCCCCCCCCCCCCCCGGTATTTCCAGTTAAGTATTTTCCTCTTAGAAGTACCGAGAAAGGGAGGAAAATAGATGTAGACATGGTGTAAATAGGTCACAGCAGTTTCAATGCACCAAAAAAGGTGCCATCTCCATCCCGTGAAATTTGTGCATTTTCTCGTGGTATTGCAAGTTGAAGTTCATCCCCTTCTTCCAGCTTTGCAATGCCTGGGAGAGAATGATTTACAAGAACTTTAAGTGGTTTTAAAATGGAAAAGAGAAAAAAAAATCTTAAGTAAAACTATTTTCTTTTGGTAAAAAGTGCTAACAAAGGTATGCACACATTAAAATACACCAGTGGAATTCTAAACCAGTTATGATTCTATTAGCCTAAAATAAAATTAGAATAAATAAGCAGGAGGAGTTATAACAGATATAAATGTATTTAGCACCTATTGTTTATAAAATGGAGGCTCCGAAAAGGACCCACATCTCTGAAAAGGAGCATATAGCTTGATGGAATATTATACAGTTAAAGGTGGGTTTTGCTTTTTTTATTGAAAAGGGAAAGTTTTATAATAATGTTAAATAAAAATATGAAAAATTACACACATACACACGGAAGATAGTCCTAATTGTATTTTAAAAATGCAAATGAAAAGTGTAAATATTAAATAGTATAAATCAAAACACCATTTATAATTATAGCACATTTGTTAACATAGTTTTTAACTATGTTAGAGTCTAGACTATAGGTTTAGGCATCATTCCAATTACATTTTACAAAATTCTGTATTTTATGTTTACTAAAATGACTATGTCTTGACAATCAAATGCATCAAAGTAATTAGGTCCTTAGAAATGAGAAATATATCTATGTGTGCCTAATTTACAATGATGTATTCTGTGAATCGGGAATACAAAATATGACTCAGGGTCTATACTCAGTATATCAGGCCATTCTTGACTCTATCTCAAAAGAAAAATATGCAGGAGAAGAAAGGAGGATCGAGGTGAAGAAATAAAGAAACTAACAAAGTAACTAGTATCTGAATTGTTGGTAGTTATGACTAAAAAGATTTTTTAAAGTTTCATTGTTTCATTAACATACAGCAAAAATTTATTTACATAAACATATCCATGTTAATTAATGTCTGTTCTATCTGAAAGCCCAAAACATCCAAAACTTGGGCAACAGCCAGCAGGAAATATTAACTTTGAAATTTAAGTGGGTATAAACAACTATAGGTTCTATTTAAAATTCCAACAGTGAGCTATTGGTTATTTCAATTCTTCTAGATTAAGCAATGAGCTATAACTTTTTCTACAATAAACATATTTTATTAATCAAGTAATGAGTAATATTCTGCTTTGTGTATAAAAGTGGTTTCTTGGTATTATGTTGGGCTTCTTAAGTTGGCCTTTAAAAATTTTTAGGTTATTATGGAAGCACTTATATACTAAGGTATAGTTTTTAATAGCTTTAAACAAATTTGCCCTAACACATTAAAATGGCAAACCTGAAACTTCCTAGAGAACAGTTATATCTAACACTAAGCTATCAGTATTGAGAAATATCTTTAAAATCAAGTTAATCATCCTCAAAATTAAGGCACCTAGGAAATCTGGCAGAGTACTCTAATAGAAGGTAAATGTTGGAGGAGCAGATGATTGGAAAATTTTTTTAAATAACTATAAAATTCCAAGTACTAATAAATATAAGTAAATAACACATTGGAATAGCCTCACTGTTTATAAATATTTTGCAGCTCCAAAATACTGGTCAGCACTGGGTGCAGGGAAATGTTTCTTTATGAAAATTAGGGAATTCCAATCTAACAAACTTCTTCATCTCTGTATTAAAGCTATTTATGGCTGCAGATCCTGAAATGGCATCATCTCCATTACTATGAACTATTTTCCTTAGTTTCTAACTGATTTACTTGGCATTTCTTTGTAAATGCATTTGAAATACAGTACATGGAAATGCACTGCCAGTCCCCAATCCTCAACTCACACCTTGTCACAGTCACGGTCACCATCTGGAACTGAAGACAGTCCTCAGGGTTCTGAATAGATGTGACAAAATCGCAGAAAGAAATAAATGTGTTTAAGGTGTGAATATTTTTCTAAAACTAGCCTTGATTAATTTGAAATTACCACCCCAAAATAAAATGGAAGGAATGTTGGCAATTACAACTAAAACAGACCTGAAAATGACCAGGCCTGCCCCTGCCTTTGCCTCTTCGCTAGTCCTGAACTAAACGCAGGGTTGCTCCTATATTTTTCTATCCCAGAGTCACCTGCCCAGTGTCTATTTACACCAGATGTCATCTGCACAAAAGTGAGAGAGAAGTCATTGTGCAACTTGCCCTCAAAGCTGGCCAAGGACATTTCTTTCATGGCAGGTAAAGAAGAGTTTTGGTGGTGGCTCTACTGTGGAGCCAGACTGGCTGGTTTAAACTGAATTCTGAAACTTGGTAGTTGTGCAACCCCGGACAGGTTTGTTACCTCTCTGGGTCTCAGATTCCACCTCTCTTAACAATGGGAGGGTTAAATGAGTGAGCACATGTGCAGTGCAGAAGAGAGTGCCTGGCCAGTGGTAATCACTCTGTCGATGTTGGATATTACGAAAGGTTGAAGAAAATCCATCTTAGAATTGTTCTCAATGTAGAATGCTATGAAGTTACTGCCCTTTCTAAATTTATATAAAAATGGTAAAACTGTCTCAATTAAAACAGACTAGCTTGTCAAGATAAAAAAAAAAAAAAGAAAGAAAAAATACAGTATATTGCAGAATGTCTTTCTGTCTGTATATTTATATTTTGGGGCACCGTCCTTTATTGCATTGTGAAGCTCAGATGTTTCAGCAGTGTCTCTTCATTTCACAATAAAGAG